TGCATTTAGGCTGATGCATTTTTCTGACATTTAGGCTTCTATTTGACTAGGTTTACATGCAAGGTATGATTGTTTGGTAGCTACTTGAACAGTAGCCTGCGATTGATGTAGGCTAGCTAGTTACTCAGCCTTCTCAGCAGCCTACTTGGTACATGCAAAAAAAACATGAAATGTGCACTTCATTTATGAAATTGAGATATATTGCTGTGAAGATATTATGTTCATGATGTGTTTTTCCCCCTTTCTTTCCAGAGAAAGCATTCAAGTCACTTGGAAAGATACAATGCCCTGACAGCCCCTCGAAAAAGAAAAGCTGAAAACCCAGTTCCCTCCACTTCCAGACAACTGAAATTAGGAGAAACGAAAATTGTGAATCAAACAAAGGTAGACAACGTAGTCATACATTTTGTAATTCAGAGTCTTCAACCATTTACTGTGCTAGAACAGCCTGCGTTTAATGCTTTAGTGCAAGAGCTACAGCCTAATTCACGTGTGATGTCCAGAACTACATTGCGGCAGAAAGTAGAAGAGGGTGCCCAAGAAATGAAGAGAAATATTAAACAAGCAATGTCCTCCATTGAATTCATTGCCACTGACTGTTGGAGTGCAAGAAGGAGAGGATTTCTCGGAGTCACTGCCCACTGGGTGGATTCAGATTCATTGAAGAGGTGCTCTGTGGCACTTGCTTCACATCAGTCACCAGCCAATGGATCGAGTGCTTCAGATGACGATGACTTCTTTTCAAGCATGAAAAAAACTCATGGGCAGGAAAGTTTTAAACGGCTAGGGATTAAAGGGCCACACACTTTTGATGTGTTGGGCAGTGCATTGAATGACATCCATTGCGAATTTGGCATAGAGAAAAAAATAGTTAGAACCACCACAGACAATGGGTCCAATTTCATAAAGGCATTTAGAGAATATGGAGAACAACAACAAGATGAGAACAATAACTGTGCCTCCAGTGAGACTGAAGAGGATGCTTGCAGTGATGATGATGAACAGGAAGAGGAAGGTGTTGATGTTGACTTCATTGAGGTAACACCGATCATAATGGAAGATGATGGCTTACAATTTCAGCTTCCAAAGCATCATCGCTGTGCATGTCATCTATTAAACCTTGTTGCCACAGTTGATGCAGCCAAGGCCAATTCCAATGACTCCTATAAAAGACTGTCACGATCAGCTTTTGCGAAATGCAGTGGCTTATGGAACAAGACATCTCGATCCTCCACTGCTTCAGACATCATAGAGGAAACATGCAAAATACAACTGATCCGGCCAAACGACACACGATGGAACTCATTATTTCTCTCTGTTGAAAGAATCGTGAGAATAATCAAAGATGAAGGAGAAGGGGCCCTGAGAACTGTATGCACTGCACTGAAGTTGCCAATGTAAGTGTAACTTTTTTTAAATATACCTTTCATTCCAATATGAAATTTTGGAAAATATTGCTTAACTATTCAGTTGCTTTAAGTAAGGGGAAATGGAGGACAATTATAGTCCGAGCAGCGTCACCACTCATCACACACACACACACACACACTCACAGACAGACACACAAAAACACACACACTCTCTCACAGACAGACAGACACACACACAAACACACACTCTCTCACAGACAGACACACACACACACAAACACACACTCTCTCACAGACAGACACACACACAATCACTCACTCTCTCACAGACAGACACACACACACAATCACTCACTCTCTCACAGACAGACACACACACACAATCACTCACTCTCTCACAGACAGAC